TGTAAGTATTACATTTACTCAAAACAATATTCTGGTTTTCGAAGATTTGTGTCAAGATATTTGAAAACTATTAGTAAGAAAATATTCTTTGTTGTAAGAAAACTTACTTAAAAGAAATGAAATAAAATAAGTCAGTGCTTTCCTTGGCTGTAGAATAATTATTTTTGTGTGTACACAAAAAAAATATTTTTGATTTAAAAATATTTTTAGTTTCGACGTGGAAATCTTGAAATAAGATTATATTGCGTTAAACGAAGAAAACTTGCTTAAATGAAGTCATTATATAGTTCAATCAAGAAAAAAAAAGTTGAAATATAAAGTTGAAATTCTTATAAGAATTTTCTTCGTTTAACGCAATATGCTCATTTCAAGATTTCCACGCTGAAACTAAAGATATTTTTAAATCAAGAATAATCTTTTTTTTCTGTAATACAAAATAATTTGATATATCTGTTAATTTGCCCAAAATGGAGCTACTTTCTTTATATTTCCTCGCATATGAGCGAAAGATTGAAAAACTCCCAATTATAAATCCTACACAATCGCGTGTGTTAAAACCCCCAAACAAGTCCCTTATAAATCGTGTCGCGGTATTAAATTTATATTTGATTGTAATACGGATAGGTAGGGAAATGAATAGGTAAGACTATAGATCGGAATACGGGTAGGTACACTGAGAAAAAAAGTTATTAACTTGACTAAATGTGTTCAACTGATTACCATTTTTTAAATTAAAATATTCAAGTATTTAAGTCAAATTATGTCATGTTAAATTTAATAATGTCATATTTAATTATTTAAATACTTGAATATTTTAATTTAAAAAATGGTAATCAGTTGAATACATTTAGTCAAGTTAACAACTTTTTTCTCAGTATAGGGATACAGGTAGGTAGATAAGTATGCGGGCAGGTAGGGATTCAGGTAGGCAAGGATAAAGGGATATAACTCGATAGTTAAAAAAAAAATTGTAGACAAAGTAATAATAAAAATTTTAATATAATAATAATAATAAATATAATTATATTTATTATTAATATATATTTTTAATTATAACAACTCAAAAAGTGTTAAATAATACTAATTTTTATATTGAATAATTTTTATATTAAAAATTATTTAATATATTAAAAATTAGTAGGTATTTCATATTAAATAATACAAATTTTATAGACATTGTATTACACCTTATTATATTGTAAATATTGTAAATCTTATGTAATCGGATGCGTATAATGTATAATAAGACAAAAATTATGACGTGTTTGGTGAATTTTTTAAAACTTATTTTAAAACATTAGTAGTTTTTATTAAAAGTTTTTACATTAGTTTTTATTAGACTAAAAAATTGTTAATAAAAATTCGGGAGATCTTTCACTCAAAATTTTGTATTAAAAATTACTATTATAGCAAGTATTAGGTGTTTACCTATGAGGAAGCCATTATATCTACACATATATGTATAACGGAAACTTATCTCATATAGGTAAACACCTAATAATATCATTTATTAAATAACAGTGTGAAAAGGTTCGATGCTAAGGCAATGATCATTTACGTATAGAATTTTGCTTACGAAAATCGACAACACATTATTGTTAGATATTATAAAATAAATAAATTCAAGACTACATAAAATAAATAAATTAAAAAAAAAAGCCAACAGTACGCGGTGTTCCCAAACGGTCACCCATTTAAGTACTAACCACGCTCAACGTTGCTTGACTTAAGTGATCGGACGAGAACTTGTAGTGTACCAACGTGATTTGACCGTTGACGAAGGGTCTTTCTTATAAAGAGGTTACATACTTCTTTGTCAATCTTTGTTACATTTATTATATATATTTTTAAAAGATATATGCATTAATTTGTTATTAATATTAATAAATAGATATTAATATATTTATATAATTAACCGTAAAATAATAGATAATATATATATGTATAATTTTATATATTATATCACAGGTTATTATTTTAATTAATTTTATATAATAAAAAATGTATAATAACAATATAAAATAAATAAATTTATGATTACATAAAATAAATAAATTTAAAAAATGCCAATAGTGCACGGTGTTTTCAAATGGTCATCCATTTAAGTACTAATATTTAGCTTTAGTATTGTAAATTATTCTATAAAAGTATAAGCTATAAATGATAAATATAAAACAAAAACAAAAAATTAAGTTTTTTTGTGAAATTTCGACTTTCAGATTGTCACTCGTTATAAAAATTAGTATTTAAAACGTCATATTTATCTCGTTCTTGATGAATCATTTTCGTGAATTTCATATGATATTAAATATTTGTTAAACGAATTTTTAAATTACGTTTGGCGTTAAATATGTTAAATCGCTAAAAATTACAAATGCAAACACCGTGTTATTTTCACGTTCATAGACGCGATCGCTGCCTCGGTGATAGGGCCTTATCGTTGTCCCTCGCGTCAGGTGGACGCTAGTAAATTCGTGATGGTTTGTACCAATGGAGAGTCGTAACGATCTTTATCATAGAGAGTTATTTCTCGTCGATTTCTATAGGATCCATCTGCGGCGCCTAGTTCGGTGCCTCGTTGAATCTAAGGGTTTCCGTTGTAGGGCCAAAATTAATTTTGAGTTTTCTTGGCGCTTCCCGAAAGCAGTGGTTTCGGCAATAAGTTAACGACGACAAGTACTTAATTTTTAAAGTCAAATCACAAAATTGATTGAACATATTCTGAGAGAAGAGACTTTATTCTTTTTATTAAATATTCTTCCATTAATTAATATCATTATGTTACTTTGACGCTAAAAAACTTAGCAGATTGAACACGGATAGTTACTGCTTGCTTGTAAACAATTATACTATAGAATTAAAAAACTTAAGTTTGGTTTTATAAGACTTGTTTGAGAAAAAAAGGGTTACAAATGAATATATTTTCTTATCTAAACTTTAGTTTCTTTTAAGAAACTAACTTTTTCAGGCACAGGATACTCCGCCGTTCTATTGATTAATTAATTTTTAAATTTTTCAGGTTGTTTAATATAATTTAATATATTTAATATAATAAAATACATATGCAATATATACATGATGTTACGTAAACAATTTTTAGCTTGTAATTTACTGGATAAAATTTTATGAAAAAGACTTGTATAGTTATTGAAATAAATTATCGTGATGATATGATGAACATAATTAAAAATGTGCGGGTACTTAATAAATTCGAGACGAATCGACGGCTACCCTGATATCAGTAAGATTTTGACAATTCTAATTATCTAAATATTACATTTAATATTTAGATAATCCTATTTAATTATTTGTTCACAATTGATTAAATATTACAGAAAAATGAATTTTATACTATTAGATATTTAATTATGAAATTAATTGAAATCTCACTGTTATTGGTTCAATTAGTCTCGAACAGTCGGTACCTGAGACCTTTCGTACTCGCACATATGTATAATAAACTACAATAGATTACAAAGACGTATATGTATTTTATTTCTAAATATAATTATTTGTAACCATTACTCTGATAGAAATTGTTCTATCCATATGTTTGTAATAAAAAAAATGCTTTTTTTAATAATGGAAGAATAGTATATATATATTTTCGCGCGCAAATCTTGATCTTATAAGGAGTTTTGATGAATATCAATTAAATTATCGTGAAAACATATTCGGGTATTGCATAATACTTGCATTATGCAAATATTTGGAAAGAGATGAGTCGTTAATTCGCTGCCGAAATGACCGCTATCGGGAACAGTCTGGAAGATCCGAGATTCGTTTCCTCCTGCAGCGGTGTCCTTGGTGTTCAACGGGTCACTTAACTTTTCTTCGCAGATTGATTCCGTGGAACACAACAAGAGCAGACCACAGCCGCTCTCCACTATGTGGATCGTTCTTCTCTATGTCGAATACTAGCGTGCCACTCGACGGAGGGATCTTGATCTGATCAAATCATTGAGCTAGTTATCGATGCACTGAATGCGGCGATAACGCGATTTTTGCTTGTGGTTTTTTAAAGTTTGCAAAATCTATCTCCCGTTGAAAGTAAAACGTGCGCGTTGTACCAGATATTATAAAAATTACGGGATTGACTCGGAGTCATTTCATTCGTCGCGTATTTTTCAGTTTGATCATTGCCTTAGACCGAAATTTTTTCTATTTTTTCGGGTACTTGTCATTTTCTTTAAATCTCGCATATAATATATAGTATACGTATGCCAATAATTATCATTCTCCTTGATTGAGAGACATAGATAATAAATTTATTAACGATCTTTTTGATCGTAGTTTCTCACATAAATTAAATATACAGTAGTAAAATAAACTTTGAAATTTTAATTAAATAATTAATAAGAAATGCTATATAACAATCACATGCTTTACATTGTGATAATTTTGTGTTATTGTGCGTATACCGAATGTTGTATCAATTTTATAATGTATATTGTAAAGTAAATTGTAACAATAATAAAATAAATATAAAAATGTAAAAAAATGCATTGTGAATAAATGAGGACCGCCGGTCGGAATCGGCGGGGGTGGTGGAAGGCCTCTAGGTTGACCTATTTCTATCGGATGAAATCAGATAGAAACAGGTCACATGTCAGAAGATATTTAAACTAACATTTTTAAATTAAATATAATATTCAAATTAAATATATTTTATTAAATTGTTTTGACAAAACATTTGTACGATTGGTTCGTTAATGAATTGTAATTAAATTAATGTTAAACAAGACATTAAGAAATATATAATAAAGAAATAGCGCGCGTCTGTGATGTCTAATTAAAGTAAAAAAGGAAACAAATATTATAAGGTAAAAAAGTCTCGAAAAGGTAACTGATTGTTAAAAAAAAAAAAATATCCATCATTGAAAAGATAGTAAACTTCCAATCAGCTCGATCGGTACCTCGGCAACAAGAAAAGCGAGTCGAGGCGCTCTTTTGTTAGGTAGGGGGATGTGACATATTTTGAGACAACTACGGACTAGTACGGACTACGGAGTCAGTAGTGTCAGTACGGAGTACGGAGCGTGGCACGTTATTAGCCACGCAGAAGCCATAGTAGCAAGATGAGTCGGGTGACGATCGTCGTGTTCACGCTATTCTACGCGTTATGTTATTCTGCGTCCTGTCACGCCGTCACATTTGATGATTGCGGTGAGTGTGCGCTTGTTATCGTTAATCTGGAACTGGGCAAATCATTTTGGGGAAAAAAAAAAAAAAAAAAAAATCATTTTGCAATAAACTCACGCTGAATAAAAGATAATAATACTTATTAATAATACTAATCACAATGCTGAAGGGGTGCTGTGTTTTTGGTAAATTGTTTATTGTACGTGTAGAAGGTTAAAATTTGATAAGAAAATTGAAATTATTGTAACAAATAAATAAATTAAATAAAACATCAATAAACAAATTAACTATGCAAAGTTAAATTAATTATCATCAATTATTGTCGATGATAATTAATAACTATTACTAAAATAATGTTGAATTTTTAGAGAATTATTTGTCACGTTATCGTTCAAAATTATGAAAGGGACAAGGGTATATTTTAAGAAACAAAAGAGGCAAGGAAAGATCCATTCCTCTTATCGACACTTTCTGAAGTTTTTTTTGTCTACCTTTAAAGCTTATTGTTAGATATGTGTCTGTCGCAGATAGCGAGCAGGAAAGTGTAATGTATATGTTATGATTAAAAAAGAGCGTATTCAGCGGGTCTAATTTCAAAGAGTTCAAATTTCAACTAAACATATTTACTTCTAGATATCTAGGAAGTACGTGCTTTTAATACCAAAAGATAACGAACGATATAAACATATTCATTATCAATTTATCATCCTTTTATACATTCTGCTGTCTAAAATTAACAAATTCCACGCAGTGAAATAATAATCACGATTCACGTCATTTCGATTACAAACTAAAAATATATTTATAATGCGTTTTTTCTCTTTATCATAGTTGCACTATTTTTTTCGCCCATTTTGATCCCGTATTCACTATATACACATTTTTTATTTTAAAGAGAAATGTTCTACTTCGGAAAAGACAGCAAGGGAATCTCTTGTTAATATAAAATTCTAACAAAGTTTTATTACATATATATATTTTTTTACCGAACAGCGTTGTTTGTCCCCCAATCAAACCAAAGGCTGATTACGTTATCAGTAATGTGTGTCCGGTTTAAAATGAAGAATGTGACGCATATTTTCATAGTCTGAAAATGGTGACTCGCATCTATTAAGTCATGTTACACGAGATTTGAGTTATCATCAAAGATATCAATGCATAACAAAAAGGAGGACAAAGAACGAAGCGCATTACTAGTGCCGTCGACCGTATTATTATCTAATTGTAGGATACTTTCTACAAGGAACTTGTCCACTAGAAATTATAACAAAATTTCGAGAAATTTTGTTAGCGAACATAATTAAAATTCTTGAAATTTTATTACCACACGTTTTGTTATTAATCCAATTTCTTAAGATAATCTTTGTTATAATTACAAAAATAATAATACAACATTTTAATTAATTATACTTTAATTATTTTTTTATGGAAATTTATACAAGTGAAATTGAATGTGGTTTTACCTAATTATTGCGAAATTATATAATTAGAGCAGTCCACTTTTTAAATTATTTAACACTTTTAATTATTTTCGAGCATATTTAATATATTACTTAATATGTATACCTAATATTTATTTAATATATTTAGACTTTGATTTTAATTTAACACATATTTAGGACTAAATATAATTCATACTAATTTACATTACATTTTAGGCTCAACATTAGGCAAATTCACGGAAGTATTGGTCTCGGGATGTAAAACGTCTGATGAAAAATGTGTTTTACAGCGCGGCGCTAACGCATCTATATCCATCAAATTTACACCTAGTGAGTACGAGAATTATAAACAAAATTGCATATCCAATTTATCGGTAAGAGAATTCGATTTTAAATTGATGATATTAAAACTATTTCAATTATTGGTTACATATTATCTAAGATCTATGTTATTAATATAGATAGACATTTTATAATTGCGATGTTTTTGCGTGCATTTTATAATTGTGTTTCTCTTTTGCAGATAAAGATATCTCAGCAGTCAATGTACGTGTATACGGCGTAGTGTTAGACGTTCCGGTACCTTTTCCATTAGACAAGCCTGACGCGTGCACGGATCCTGACGATGGAATTGATTGTCCTTTACACAAGGATCAAGAGTATCATTATACGACCACGCTGCTTGTGCAGAAGAAGTATCCTCGGGTAATCAACATTTAAAATTCATATTTAACCGTTTCGATTTTTTAGATTCAAGTTTATTTAGATTTTATGGGTATTTGGATATAATTTGAGTGGAATGTTTAATTTAATTTATATCTCTTGAACAACTAGAGTTAACAAGTTTTATTCTAATAATTTAAAAACTTATAATTCCTTACCTGTAATTTATTAAATATACTAACTTAGCCGTTAAGAATATTTTTTTATGTGTACAATAAAGTTATTAAACTTGTGTGTATAATTAAAAATTTATAATTTTTATTATCTTTCAGGTGAACGTCTATATTAAGTGGGTGTTTATAAATGAGAACAAGGAAAAAATAGTGTGCATAGGATTTCCAGCTAAAGTTAAGTGATTCAAAAGATATTATTTCAACAACTAGGAAATAAAGAAAAATACTAAAGATTATATCTTGATAAATATAAATGTGCCATTTTCTAGATAACGTATTTTGACATATTTAATACATTGTTTAATTTTAAATATTACCATGTCAATGCATATTCATAAGAAAAATAAATAAATGAAATAAAAATAAAAAGGTAATCCACATTGTTGATATATATAAATGTATTTAAATTTCAAATTTTTCAACTTGACATTTAAGTTTTTAACTATAAACGATTTAGAATATTGTAAGATAAAAATGTGTATAATGCAGAGTAATTCTATACGTTAATCTGTGAGTATGTCTTATTCAGTACTCTGTGTCAGATATTTTCCTTTGTCAGATGTTCCAACTTGATATTTTTTTCTTTGTAACTATTTCACTATTGAGTTAAACATTAGTCGTTGGTATTGAAAGCTAACAACATTGGTATTCAGATTTAGCTAAAACTAATTTTTTTTTAAATCGTAATATGTACACACTATAGTAAAAACGATGGGTAAAGAATAGAAAAAATAAAATAAAAATAAGAATTGAAAGAAAGTACAGGAAACTCGACTAAAAAAAGGAAAAATATTTTCGTTTATCCGATCTAATACTTGGTAACTTTGGTCTTCTCCCTACTTTTTATAAATTATCATCAACTGTCCATCATATTTTCGACCATATCTTGCGATCGATTGTCCATTTCAATCTGATGGAATGTTCGTTTGCTACGTTGAATTTCCGAACTTTGATGATCGTTTTTCAGCGTCTTCTCTGCTTGGTAGATGGGCTCATATTCCTTTAGTTGTGTCATAAAACCTTCGTTTGGATTTATACAGAATCTTCTTTCCTGCACCATTATGTATGCGCGCCTAAAATGAATATTGCAGATTTTTCGATATTGTAATTTCAGTAAACAGAAATATATAATTAATATAACGTATAATTAATATAATTACAGAGAATAATATGTAAAATGAATATACGATTCTGTAGTTCAGTTTATCAATCATTGTCATGTTTATCGTCATTTATCAGTTTATCAATATTTTATAATTCAGATGAAAATGTATAGAAACATGTGTGACGATATGTATAGATATTTTTTTAGAGAAAAGAAAAAACTTACGTTTGTGAAAGTTCATACGTTTCCATAACATATGCCAAGACTAATGCGGCGGATCTCGAAATACCAGCATTTCCATGAACTAAGACTCGGCCGCCCGAAATCAAGGCTTCATCAATGAATGCCTTTACCTTTTTGAAATGTTGAATGATATTTTCCGTTATTGTGTCGGCGATCTCCAAGACTAGGTATCTGTAGAAAACAGAAATATGTAAAATATAATCATAATTAAATATTAACCATTAAATGAAATTTAAAGAAAAAGAAGAAATGCAACCATTAGTAATTAAAAATAATAGAAAGGATAGTACTAAAGAAAATCAGAAATTAGAACTTTTTAAGTTTATAGAGCTGTTCTCTTCTTTGTTAAGCAACTATTAATAAGTTATTGCTATTAAGATCATATATGGCGATCGTGGCACAGAGTGATGTGCGCTGATTTAGTGAGTCGAAGATGCAGGGTTCAAATCTGATAAAAAATTTGTCGGATTTGATCGCTACAATCATCTCGGATGGTGATGGCAACCCACGAAGAGTATCTTGCCACGAGAACCGCTCTGTATTTGGAGAGGAAACCAACTTCTCAAAGTTGTGGGTTGATCAGTAGACTGACAACCCACCCCAGAAAACAAAATTTTATCTCAAAACCTCAAAAATTCTGAGAAGGCCGATAGATAGACAGATTGATTGAATTAAGATCACGTACTTGAAGCTGTTGGGAAAGTTTGGCCTTATAAGGTTTGCCTCGATAGTATGTCTGACGCAAACTATGTGTGTTATTCCATGGTCAAGCAAAGACTGCAATTTGGAGCGACTGGCAGCACTGTAAGGACCGAGAAATACGCCAGGTACTACTTCCTGTAACACACAGTAAAAGTAGTTATACATATCAAATTAATAACATATAATTTTTTTTTGTTAAAATAAGAAAGCGCAAGAAAATTAAGCTAAATTATAATAAGTAATTTAATATTGAGTTAATTAATTTTTTGTAAACTTTAAAGAGTTGTGAGTTAAAAAGAAAGTTTTATAGTTCTACATTCGCACATTTGTTTTATCGATAGAATGGATTATTGGTGGTAAAGTTTGGCCGAATATTTTGTACTTATTTGCCAAATTGACATAATCACCTGCATGTGTCTCCTCATTGTATAAGTCCAGTCCCTCATCTTCTCTAATGGGAAGATGCGATTAGAAATTTCAGGACATTCTTGGTCAGATTCTGATTCAGCAGTGCCTCTTCCGCCGCTTTCCTGCAATTGAGAATTAATATATTTTAAAATTATTTATGAACTTTAAAGGATCGTAAGATATATTATGTCTCGAAATCAATTTCATATTTGTACCCGGTTGTATGTTAAATGTATACATTTTTTTCTTGGAACAAAATTTTCATCGTTTAAGGAAAAAATCCTGTGGCTTTTTCTCTAAAAGTTGATTATATACATCAGTAAAGTTAAGAGAAAGGACTAGCTGAATTTGTTTCAGACCTTAATATTACAAACTAAGATATTAAAAGTATTGTAAAATATAATAAAGCGTTATGCTAATAAATTTTTTAACTGCGACATTTTTCCGTACTTGAACCGAACATACATCCATGCTCGAGAGAAAAAGGAAACTGAAGATATGAAGTTCACTCGGAATATAACAAATAGGACAAATCTGGTGTCAATGCCACTGCTAAAATCCAAATAATGCACATCTCTCTTTAATCGCTGTTTACTCTCTCGGATAGCGTCACGTGGCCCAGTGTGTTGAATATTGCCCTTTATCGACGTCCTTTCATGCCGATATACTTGCCGTTAAACGAACGATCGAATTATTAATCGTCATCGTCGGCGCTATGTAATGATGCAGGGATACGTGACTTCATAACCTATCATGACCTATCATTTATTACGACTGTGTTCTAAAATTCACCTGTCAAAGTGTCAACAGTGAACGCCGGAAATCTATAGTACCCGTGACGTACGCTGTAGATTTTCAGCGCTGGCGATAGTGGCGATGAATTTTGAAACACGGTTTATGTGCAATGAAATCGCCTGTAGAGTGTAGAGACCGTAGAGACCTCTCGCAGAAAGTCACAATAGGCCTGTTCGTTTTAGCTGAACTTCTCGCTCTCGCACAGTTCATATTTTCTCTTTTTCTCTCCAACGTGAAAAGAAAAAGAACAAAAGATGAACCGTGCAAGAAGTACAGCAAACGAACAGGCCTAAAAAGTCAAAAAGTCACATCTGGATTGTAAATGAGAGAGAGAGAGAGAGAGAGAGAGAGAGAACGAAGAATAAAGAGATAATAGATTGTCCCCTATCTCTCTTTCTCTTTCTTTAACTTTTTTCTGTCATTAGTGACTCTAATCTGGAGTTGTGTCCTCTCGCGATGTCTCCACGATTAATTCGGAATAGTTTCGTTATTTCTGTCCTATTGTCTCGATTTTTTCTTCTATTGTGAAAGAAGAAATTAAAAAAAAAAAAATACAAAAAACGTGGGTTTCTCCCACAAGTTTGATGGATACAATATTGCTGTTTGTATGTTACAAATAATATCGTTGATAATGTTTATTCTAAAGTTCAGTATATTGTCTTCTTTCTCTCCTTCGTATAACATACATATACTGGTCACGCCTTCTGTCGGCGACTGATTAGTATCGAACGGCGCTATCAGAGAGCGCGAGCAGTTCCGTTTTCTCGTTACATAATCGTTTTTATGTTAATTGTACCCTTATTATTGTTTACTCCAATTCTAATGCTCTTCTGCAATATAACAGATAAGCTTGCATCTTTTATTATATTATTATTATGCTTGACTTGAAATTTCGTTTAAAGTATCTCTATGTATTTTAGGATAATTTAATATGTTTACATTTAGTTATTAGTTATTATCTCTCTTTAAGAATTTCACCTAATATATAAATAGATCTTACGAGACGTATATTTAACACGGCTCCATGTATTAGCATTATAAAAAAGCGCAACTTATATATAATTATGTCAAATAGAACTGTTTCTACTGGCTGTATTTTATTTTTCTTTTAACAAAAAACAGAGAAAAGTTACATAATCGTGATTCGGTGCGCGCGATCAGTAATATTTGCGTGATATGGTGAAGGAGGGAGTACCACGAACCTATATTATTCGAAGAGCTATAATTATCTATAAATTTGTTTTTTATTGCAAACACTCCTAATATACTAATTGCGTTTGTTCTGTTATTTTCAACAGCTTAATATGCCAGCTTATTGCAATAAATTATTTATATAGTTTTATTCGTTCATCGATTATCTGCTTGTCGAGATGAAATCGAGAAAATAGAAATATTTTGCGCAGCTTAAAATATAAAATCTACGAATGGTAAATAAGAAGAGAAAGTGTAAGGACGGTAGAAACTTGTCAGCATGATTGCACTAGAGACAATTAATATGATAATAAGTTTTCATGCGCTACTTTGCACGAGTGGTAATATTTCCTATAACGTACATTTTTAGATATTTTAAATGTGCGTTTAAATATAGAATATTACATGATTTTAATGGCAAAAACATACTTATGTAATGAAAAGTGTTGGCGCTATATATATTACGACTTCCTTCGCTAATTATTTCGGGGTTTGATTGGCGGTTGCACATTCATCTAATTAATCATCTTTCTTTTTTCTTTCTAAATATGGCGAAAATGACTCATCATGAAGGAATAAATGGCTTAATAATATCAGATTTCTATTATTTCTTGTCCAAGAATCATGATTAATTGTTATTTGTTAATTGAAGTATATTAAAAAAACTAAAAATTTCACACTGTAATTATAATATAAAAGATTTTGTGGCCAGATTATAAATTGTTTTGTCAAAAGAAAGCATCTTTGTCAGATTAAAGCTTTAAACGATCTACAATTCGCGTGAGATTTCAAGAGTCTATATTATATAATTCTATTGCATATAATTTTATACGCCATACATTTCAATATATTATTTTTATTATATATGTGTACATGTGTATTGATTCTTCAAAAAATTATAAATAATTAAATAAGATGATAAATAACATGTCACCCATAAATTTTAACGTCACGCAAATTATAAATCGTCTAAAGTGGATTTAATATCGAAATTATAAACATTAATAAATTCTCAACAAATGTAAAGCTTTTTGAAATCAAGTAGCGGCGGATGTAAGGCGAGCTCAATTTATCAAACGCTTTCTTTCATTCATGTTGTAGCGCGCGATATCTCAAAGTGCATGTCGATCTCGCGGTTTGTCAGAAATAAATCACGCGTACATACGTCCGGCATTATAACAAAAGATCGGTGATGCCTGTAAACGGTTCTCCCTCGGTTTCTTTGAACTTTTTGCGGCAAGACGTTAAGAAAGCTGCTTTCAAAAAATAATAGATGGTCTGAAAAACGTTTTGCTATACGGATCGTTATCCAGCGTCATGACGAGCGTTGTGTCGCGCAACTTTGGGCCTCGTGCCAGTAGAAAGGATTCTTTCGTTTTATCTTCTTGTTTATCTCCGACATCTTTCCCGAGTCTCCAATATTCTAAAATACAAGACATTTTTTTACAGAGAGAGAATACAATTTTTAATAATAATTAAATTTGACACAATTTTAATGTAAAGGGGAGAGAGATCTTTTATCGCTCGATCGTGTTACCGCGCGATTAACATGATTACAATTATGAAATTAAAATATGTCATTAGACTCGTGAAAATTTCAACAAATTAATAAAATCAACAGCTATAAGAGTCAGGCGCGGTACGTGGTGCGCAAGTATATAATATAGGTACATATACATATCTATTTCAACTTGATAAACTGCGCGCCGATTATTCGTCAGACTTGAAACACAGCTATCGGCGCGCAGTTTATCAAGTTGGAATAGATGTATATATATGTATATTATATACCCTGTAATTCTTTACTTCTGTATATAACTATTAATTTCTTTACTTGCACACCACGTACCGCGCCTGACTCGTATAACTGTTTGTTAATTTGTTGTTATGAAATTATATACCACGCACATACCCTTCACTCGCGGGCACTGCGATTCGCGCGAATAAAGAACGTGCAAAAATGACATTCCTTATCTTCAGAATTCATTAATATGTTAAATGTGTCTTAGCAATAGAAGCGTGTAATGTCATAGAATATATAGCGTAACAGCCCGTTACGTTTCCTACATCTGTATCGTATACCGCGTTGAAAACCATTACCGACAATTGCGCCGGCGGGTCTCAATAATTATTAATCTGCAAATCGCCCGACAGGAAGATTAGCGGCGTGTAATAACACGCGTCGGTTTTTTCTTATCCTTTCGCGGCGTGATTTTCAAATGCAGGAAACGCGCAGTAGGTATGCAGAACGCTTTCGGACATCGTTGGGCGTCGAGGAGGGTGAGCTGGGACGAGGGGTGGAGGAGAACGACGCAATTTGGTTACGAACTGTTTAATGACTTTTACAACGCGCTTCTGGTTGCAGAATCGGCGGCGCGATTTCTTCCGGGATACGGTAATATGGTTCTCCTTCGATCGCCAACGCCACGCTTTCGCGATGAAAGTTCGTATATGTGTATATATGTGCGTGCGGCTTGTACAGTTTCAATGCGTCGCTCGCAAACGATTTGTTTTGTAGCGACGCGGGGCTCGCGGAAAATGCGAAACGAATCACTTCCGTGGGAATTGCGATGTTCCGTTGCACTCGGTTACGCATTTTCGGGATCGTGCTTTAATATTTTTGATTGTGTTTTCGAGCTATTAGCGCGCAAGCCCTTTCATTATTCCGGCACAAATAATCTTATCGTATAAATACGTGTAAAAACATATTGTTGAAAATAAAATTTAATTGTATAAATAACTATTGAAATGGAAAAAAAAACTGTTGACACGCAATTTCCTGTACATTTGTTGTTGTTGATTACCATGTAATTATCGAACTCTCTCTCTCTCTCTCTCTCTCTCTCTCTCTCTCTCTCTCTCTCGCTTTATCCAATTCTACAATTTATTGAAATTTATAGGATTTTTATGTCCAGCATAAACTTTGATATTGGCTAAAATAGGTCAGGTTTGCATTTTCCTGGCGTTTGTATTTTATTTTTACGGAGCATGGATAAATTGCATGGTGCAGTAATGTCTCTTCACACGAGTGAATAGCGCTCGCAATAAATCGCTGTCATTTGCACAGCGCGCGATTCGAAGTACTCGCGAGTGAAGGGTATTGGATAGCACCACCCATTTCGTCACATTGGAGAACCGTGTTATTTCGCGCGTATAAGAAGCATCATTTTCCATGTTTGTCGCTCTCAAAGTCATTGCTGGACATTCTGGCGCAATTAGATGGCACTCAGTCACTGAATTCCATTCTAGATCTCTTATACAATTCACGATAGAATAATTATAAAATTTAATAGAAGTTTAATTATAATTAATTACGTGGATAAAAAAGAGGTTTACGGAATTCCGTTTGAAATTATAGATCGTTTAAAGTGGGCTTAATTTGCTCGTTGGGTTAATTGGTCGTCCTTCAATTTTTGGACCCTCTTGTCGTTTCTTCAATTAATAAAGAGTCGGACGGGGACATTGATCGATAATTCATTTATTTAATGATTATTGAGCTTGGTTTGCTTACAAATAGCATTGTCGTTCCGTGAACCTTTTTCACTCAGCTATTCTTTGTGTTCTTAAGACGAAGATTTATGGTTTCTATTATTCAAGAATTATAGACCGACAAGAGTCTTTCGCGTTCTTACACTTGCTTCTGTGTCATGTCTGCAGTGGCTATTGCGATAATGATCACGAAAACAACTGAACTGAAAGATTTCCCCTTATTTTGCTTAATAATACATCTCAATAAGAAAACATAAATAAATTCTTTTATTTATGAATATCTATTCTATATATAATAAATAT